TGTGTTAAAGCCTTTACAATATCATTGACATCTTGAGTCATAGAGTGTATTTTATTAAATTTCAAGAATTCACTGACTGATACGTATGGATCGTTTTTAACTAAGTCGTTAAGAAATCTATCTTTGCTCAAGTTAGCATCACTAAAGTAAAACTCCATTTGCTTTAATATGTTTTCGTATAACTGGCGTTTTCGATGCCTAACCCGCTTTCTGGAAATGTTTTCAACTTTTGTTTCTCGATCTACTGGTACTGTTTCTGGTTCAGACATTTTTCTTCGTTACGGCATATATTTTAAAATTAAGAGCGATTTTTTTTAAATGTAGATTCAATCAAAAGTAGTTATACTTTGACTATTTTACTGATACAATCAACATTTTATTCAACATCCTCAAATCCTAACCGCAATCCCAAACCGAATAATGACATCTTACTCTGACATTGACACTGACAGCTTGCAATGACATGTTATACGTCATCATGACATATTATTTATATTAAAATATTTGGCTTGGATGCTTGTCTTTTACAACGTGGTAGAGCCACGCTGTAGCTTTATTATAGTTATAGCACGAATGGGTCCGCTCGACCAAGGTAGGGCCATAGACTTAGAATATACTGGCGTATAGACGACCTGACAGCCCGTAAACACGGGACTAATTTTGATTTGTCATTGTGTGCGTTAGCTAGTGATGTACAATTTACTTACAAGAACTATCGAAAAATTATTGTTAAGGGATCGGCAAATAAAAAGAATAATTAAAAAAATAGTGTAGTGCAGGAAATTGAATAACTTCAAAAATTAACTGGATTTTTACCATGATAGTTCTAAAATAATTAAAAAATGTTTATATAACATGTTCCTGGGAATAAGCTGAGCCTACCTGCCTTTTGTTGGATTTTAATTCAAACGTAAAAAATCTCAGGAGACTATCGATAAACTAAAAAAACTCCCCAAGAATCAGATAGGTAAGTTGTATTTTCGAGTTATGATCTTTGGAGAAAAATATTCACTGCCATAGACAGTTTCCCCGGAATTTCTTTTTTTAACATATTGTTAATATAAATAGGTAGATACTTAACTAAGTATATACCTATTTATATTTTATAAATAGTTTTGATGGGGAAATAAAAACGGGGACACAGAGTACATAATAGCTGCTTTATTTTTCAGTTCAAGTATTACTTTTGATAATTACAAACATTTAACAATGAAATATATTATAGAAGTTTATTTTAACATTTGACTTAAACACGAACTAATTTTAGTAAGGATACTTGTAGGACTGAGTTAAATAAGATTGTTCTGTTTAAAAGCCAATATGTTTATGAGGCTTAAAAGTATAAAGTAATAATAAACTTAGTATCATTTTAACTGCATGAATTAAAAAAAGTAATTACCTTAACAGAGTAAAGTGCATCAGGTGTCTGAGGATACAGATGCACTCTCTATTATCTCAATCTCGGTATGTTATGAAATAGGTCACTCATTCATGTACTAACCGCAGCAAGTGCAACTTAATCTCACAGATCTATTGATCCACGTGGCTATAACTAATCCTCGAGTTCCTCTTCTCTACGACTAACACTGTAGGCGATGAATCACGCTATTTAAGCCCACAGCACAACGTCGTCAGCCATAAAGCATGAATCGGGCATCGAGCGTTGTGAGTATCAAATAATATGGAATTAATACTACCCTAGCACATCGAACCACGCGTCTCATGCGCGAGCGTCTAGTGGAGCTTGAAGAGAATTACTAAATATATTATATCTAACTACGTTAAAGTTTAATCATTGTGACTTGGGAATATATTCCGAAGCGCCGCGCAAACCCTTGTGGGAAAATAGCGTGATGCAATGAAATATCACACTAGTGTGACCATGACGTACGGGTAGTGAAGTAAGGTTATACATTTTTTGGTTGATAAATAGATAGGGGTTCATAATGGCTTAAATGGGATAATTTCAAGATTTTTATCTTAAATGTACTACAGTTTTATAATGTACAAAAATCTGTCTCTAATTTTATCAAAATTTTTGAAGTTTTATTAATATAGCAATATCATACTTACTGGTACCAATAATGTAGAAATGACTCCTTTTAATGAAATTTTTTTTATTCTAAGCGAACCCGAGGATTTATTTACTTGTTGTGTGGGCAAGTCTATCGATTCATTATAAACATTCAAGATAAATATCGACATTAGTTTTGATATAGTCGCGTCGATCCCTAGCGTACATATAAAATTGCGTGCCGAATTGCGTCGACCTGTCATTCAAAATCGGTTACAGAGTCATGAAATTTGGTATCCTTTGCTATCTTGCATTTTTGCCATAAGGGATTTTCTTCACCCTTGCCCACTATGTCGGTCTATACGCCAGTATATTCTAAGTCTATGAGTAGGACTATGCTCTCACATAATACCAGTGTAAAATAGCAGCTTAATGCTGTTGTGTTTCGTATGGTGAGTGAAGAGAACCGGAGACCCTTTTTATTGGAAACAAGGCATTCCATCTTATTCCTCAGGTGTGACATTTTGATCCTTAATTGAGGATAAATGTAGTTGTCTATGGCATCCGCTTACCCTATAATAATAATAAATAATTCCTAATTTGCCTAATTCTATAAAAAAAGCCATGTCTTAATTTATTTTAGTATCAAGTGATAATTATCCTTTATAGTACACTGCTTCACAATGTGTTAATGCCTAACGTTGCATAGTTTTTAAGAGATATTGACGGCAACTGAGATACTAGGTAGTTGGCGATAGTACCGCAAGGCGCTTATGCAGACAGACACCTTATCTTGAGGTTCACATCACCGTCCTAGCACTTGTTTATCATTTTTCAGTAAAACTTCTCATGCGCAGACATTTAATACACAAAATCATTTTACATGTCAAAATCCATATTATAAATGAAATAAAGCTAAGCTAAATGCTTCACCTTGTTAACTTGGTAGTACTTGTACTATTATCTATTCTGTGGTGGTAGATACACCTTTTCCGCCTGGAAGTTTCTTAGGGTAGGTACCATTTTCGTATCTATTTCTGCCACCAGCTTGCAGCATTGCTGTTTTCTGGCCTGAAGCGTGTAGAAAGAGAGAGAGTGTATGTTTACAGGCAGTAAGGCATTCCATCTTAGTTCTCATAGGTGACAACGCATTCTGAAGTAGGGTAGTACAGTAATACTGTAAAATCTATATAAACGCTAATGCTAACATAATATAAAAGTTAATTTGTTCTCTCATTTGTTGGTTAGCTAAGTGATTTCAGATAACCCGTAAAATGAGAAAAAAGTAATGTAATCTTTTGCCTGTGCATGACTAATGCACTATCCCATCAAAAACATAAATTTGAAGGGGGCCCAAGTACGGTACAAATGACGTTAGATTGTGGGCCGATACGAGTCAGGCGCCAAGCTCCATGGTAAGAACTGTAAGAATGCACGCTTTTGGAACTGTTGGCTAACTTGGACTTGTTTTCACATTTATTTTTTTCGGTGGAATATCATAAATTTTTGATAAAATGTTTATCCCTTTATTAATTCAAATGATATGACCTGCAACAAATTCTCTTACGGTAACGATTTTAGTTTTTTTTTAAATTTATTTAAGCTATAATGTCGACAATGTTATTATACTAAGTCTTGCTCAAAAAATACGTTTGTGAAAGAAGACTTGACATAAATATGTAGAATTCGTTACTAAAATATTAGAAACACTACGCGTTATAAATGTTATATAATCCGATGATTATTTTATAATTTATTACTTACACAGTTTTTTCAACAAATATTATTAAAGATGCCAGGGAAAAATTCCACAATCCTTAATTTTAAAATCTATCGAATATATAAATTAAAAATATTTTAATTGTTGGTACATGTTTCCGAACGAATAAAATAGGTTTTGACATTCATGTTTTGGTGATACTACTTAAGGATGCACATTTAAAATATACATCGATGTTGTGTTGACATAAAATATTTCGCTTGATGACATCGATGTTACACTAAAATACTAAAAAATACATCGACATTAATAGCTTATGAAGTGATTTTAAAGTTTAATGTAATTATAGCTGTAACATGCCACAGAGAAAGAAAGATGCGTTAAGTAGAATTTTTATATATTTCTGCTAACCCAAGAAAATATCTGAATTAAATTTAAAAAAAAAAAAACAGTTTAGTGTTCTTCACATATTTTCTTTTCAAAAATGTATTAAATCTAATCGTTTGCTCTTAATTTGATTTCAGCCTTGCTATGGTAAAAATTCTTAAATAAGTAAATATTTATTTACCTGGTTTAAGAATTAATGGAGCTTTTAATTTTCGTAACGTTTGAGAGTTCTAACAAAGTTTACTACCTACTTTCTTCGTTTTATCATAAGTAAATACTAATTACCCCATGAAATTTAAAAGTCAAATTAAAATACAAAAAATTGAGAATCCTTCGTAATAAAATAAAATTCTATTTGTTAGCCAGTGTTACCAACCAACTCCTAGAGAAAAAACTTCATACGAGCCTAAAAGAAATGTAGAAAACTACTATTTAAGTAAGGAACCAAAACAAAATATCAATGTAAAATAATATTATTCGATGTGACAAATAAAAACTTCGATACATCGAATCTATCAAAGCGTTAAAAATACATCGTTTGAATTCGATGCATCGACACAGTTTTTCTAATACATCGATGTTTATCGACCAGGACCATCTCTAGTTCTTCAGTTCCGTCTGGTTCCGTCGTGTCGAGAATATGTGGAATAAATTATTATTTGTTAGTTACTGGGTTTAAGCGGAGTTTATTATGAAAACAGTTTTCAGTAAGGTGTTATAAATTTAAAGTTGTTTAATTTCATTTGTATTTGGATGCTGTGCCTTTTAATAAACGTTCGATCATAGATTTCATATATAAATTTGTGCACGGGGAGGAAGATGACGGTTTTTATCTGCAACTGTGTTATTATGTCCATTTAATTGTGTTTAATATTCGCGATGTCTACTACAATAAAATCAGCAAACGTGAGTTTGAAGCCTATTGAAGTACCAAAGGCTTTGCAAGAAGGAGAAAAATTTATTAAGTGGGATGAGGCAAGTATATCTTTATTTTGTAACTTTGAAAAGTTTGAAAAATGCTTAATTAATTCACTCTTCGGATGTTTTATAAATAATATTTTAGTCTTGTGTTACTTTACCAAATTTAAGTTTAAATCTGTGAAATTTTTTGATAAAATTAGTGTTATACCTTAGGATTCTGGCGCTGGTCTTCCTGTTACGCTACGCGTTGATCCCAAGGGCTTCTTTTTGTTTTGGACCGACCAGAACATGGAGGTGGAGATGCTGGACATAGCTACCATCAGAGATGTACGAACAGGAGTCCATGCAAAAGTGCCTAAGGTGAGTTCTTGAAAATTAAATACTCAGATTTGTAATTTAGGTTTTGGGTTTTACTTTTATTTATTAACTATATTTAGCTAATATAAAAGAGATAAATTAGTTTTTTATGTTATAAGGTTTTAAGAAGTTTTAGTAGATCAGGGGTGGCCAACTTTTAATTAGATAAGGTCTACTTTTTAATACTAAAAGTGTGTTGTGGTAGAATTGTTGTCCTAGACATTCTCTCTCACCTTTACACCTTAACTAAGGTTAAATTTAATTGCCATATTTATCTTGTAGCCTATTTGATCAATCACTATTTTGATCTATCTTGATAATCAGCCCATAACCACTATCTTGATGAGCCTGCTAGAGTCCACTGCTGGACATAATGGACTTAAATGGATTCTTCTGTAAAGTAGTTGTGACATAGCAGAATCTGTTATTAATGAATGGTGTAAGATTTTAAGTACAAGGACATAAATTATCCAGACCAACTGCATCAACGGTGTGAGATGTCTGGCAATGTAGTTACCAATCTCATATAATGTATTAATACATATTGTTAATACTGATACTTCTATTCTATTATTCTGTTAGGTTATTACACTAGTGCTAACTTGATCTGACAAGTACACCTTCCAACGTTATTGAAAATCACAAATTCTTACTGAAAACTTGTATGCTGTGATTCCTTTTACATAATATTCACTATAATATTATATCCTAATTAGGTACCAGGTAATGGTATAGTAAGATATGTGCCCGAGAATGATTTGTGAGCCTTGTTGGGCATGTCTTTCACGAAAGCGTCAGAGTGCATACTCACCAAAATACATAAAGTACAAATTAATTCCTAATCTTTACAGGTAATACCTCCCTGCAATGGGCGAGGTTCAGTTGACCATTTAATGGGGAATGATAATAAGCATCTTTGAACTTATTGGTGGCATATTAGTGTATCCAAAACCGTTCACTCTTCTGATGTTTGGTTGTAAAGTTGTACAAAAAAGTTCTATTAATAATTTGACCATGTAGTGGTGCTGTAAGAATAACCACTACTCGTCGTATTTCGTCCTGTGGGTGTCGTAAGAGGCAACAGAGGAAACTAACCGGAAGAGGGGCTGCAGCATCTTCCAAATGCAATAAATATTTTTTTATACTACATTTTATAAATGTAATATAAAATTACTATCCTCCTACTTCCTCTAATTTGTTCTAAAGTTTAACTTGACCATTTGCATTTATTGCAAATGCGTTTTAGTCTATTAGTGTATAGAATTAGAAATTAGTAGGATTAAGTGTTCAAGTTGATTGTATTGCTACCATTTGTGTGAAAGCTTCCACTGTTTCTTTTAATCTTTGTTTGTTGTGAGTAACATTTATTTACATTTTCCCTGCTATTTTTTTATTAAATTGGCAGTCCTTGTTTGTCAGTCTTTTCCCTTTCTTTAATATCCCTCTTCTTGACATGGGCCTACTAAGAGTAGGCCAGGATTTACTATTTAATCATTAAAAAATTTGCGACAAATTTATTGATACGGCTGGTACCAAATACTGTATTTGAAACTAACCGCACCAATAACATTGTCGAAATTATAGCGAAATAAAAAAAAAAAAACAAACTATGAATCGTATTTGCAAGAGCAATTGTTGAACTGTTTATCAAAAATTTATAATATTCCACCCAAATAATAAATGTGAAAACAAGGCAAAGTTCGCAAGCAGTTTCAAAAATGTGCATTCCTACACATCCTGCCATGGAGATTGGCGGCCGACTCTTGAATCGGCGAAGTCGACAATCTAACGTCGTTTGTACCGTTCTTGGGATCCCTTTTCATATTTATGTTTTTGATGGGATGGTACATTAATCATGCACATGCAAAAGATTGCATTAGGTACTCCTTTCTCATTTCACGGGTTGTCTGAAATCGCTTAGCTAACCAACAGATGAGAGAACAAATTAACTTTTATATTATGTTAACATTAGCCTTTATATAGATTTTACAGTACTACTCTAATACGAAAATAAATAAGCATTAGGTGTGTGTTTGATCGGCCTATTGGGCTGCTTTTATACTATTCGGTCGAATACCAAATATCTAGGCACTATTTAGTCAAATACCGAATACAAAAGAGGTTTTATTGTAGTCAGATGATTGGTAAAATGAAAATATTTATTTTATAATTAATTTTTTTTTCTTGTCATCATTAAAGTAGTCATAGGTACATAATCAAGTTCCATATTATAAAAATTTTAAAAGTATTATCATATAAATGTTTATACACTTGAACTATAGTAATTAAAATGGAAGATATGGTGCAGAAAGACAAATTTTTCTTTATTTTCAGGCAGTAGCTTAGACCTTTTCTACTCGTAGACAATCCCAGCTTCACAATAAAAGAATAAACACCACTTCCTTCCCGGCCGAATACTTTTGCCTAATATTCGGCTATTCGGCTAGGAAGTCCGCAAAATATTCGGTATACGGCGCGTGGCCGAATATATCTACTATTCGTTGCAACTCTACTTGAAACGACCATGTAAAAAAAAAAAAACGCCAATTATTGCCTATATTTAAAATTGGAGCGTCACCGTGACTATTCCCTTATCGTTAATTGTTATAACAATTTGAATCACCGCAACCGCTTGCGGTTTAAATAATTAAGTGATATTGAAATAAAAGTATAACATTCCCGGTTAATAATATTATAAATTATATTTCCTCGTTCGACGACATGCTATTTTAAATATGGGGCAGATAAAAATTGGTATTGTATTAGCGCATCATAAAACTATGTAATACATCGCTATCAGTGGGAACGCGGATTAATGAACGTGTTTTGTTGCTTGGCGTTTCTATTAAATTACTTATAATATTTATAAAGAGTGTGGCGTCCGAAAAATCAAGACAATATGAGCTTTTAATGCGTCAACGTGACGTAATAATTTATTAGTAGGGTTGAATACTTGTGGAGTGAAATGGAGGAGCGTTTGGCGAGAGTGTGAAATGTATACATTTTGAGCGACCGCTCCACTCAGGATACTGTAATTGCCGTAATATTGTAGCGTTTGTTTGTCATTCACGAATCCCTCTTTGGCGAACGCTCACCACTGAGGCTCAAGTCTTTTTTCCATACTAAAATGTAGGAATGTGTAGGATATACAATACATTTGTAGGGGAGTATTTTGTCAATATTCGTTCAAAACAAAGTAAATAAGATTTGATTTGACAGTTAGAGGCGTGGAAACATCAGTATTTAAACACTCGTTTTACCGCTACTTTGAGCGTAAATAAATAACATAAATATAAGTGCGAAAACCTGAAAATAATTTACATACAAGCATAGATTATTTCAACATTCAGATTGAAAGGTTCAAAATATGTTAATATTGAAAAAAAAAATTATAAAATTAAAATGACAGACGAACTTACAGTTCATCTAAACGTGGTAGAGCCATGCTGCAGCTATATTAATAGTATAGTTGTAGCACGAATGGGTCGGCTAGACCGGGGAAGGACCACGCTCTCACAGAATACCAGCGGAAAATAGCAGCTTATAGCTGCTGTGTTTCGTATGGTGAGTGTAGAGAACCGGAGACCCATTTTACTGGAAAAGAGGCATTCTATCTTAGTCCTCACGGGTGACAACGCATCTGCATTTTGATTCGCAAGTGAAGATAGATGTAGATGTCTATAGGCCGCAGCAACCACTTACCATCAGGTGGACTGTGTGCTCCCTTGTCATCCTTATACTATAAAAAAATCTAATGGTAAGTGACTACCGGAGCCAATGGACACCTGTAACCAACTAAAAATGGCAAGAAGGCTTCAGAATACGTTGTCCTATGAGAACTAAGATGGAATACCTTACAGTCTGTAAACATACTGCCTCTCTCTACAGTCTACACGCTACAGGCCAGAAAACAGCAATGCTGCAAGCTGGCGGCCGAAATAATTACGAAAATGGTACTTACCCTGAGGAAATTCTTGGCGGAAAATGGTAGCTAGTTAACAAGGTGTAGCAAATAGCTTAGCTTTATTTCGTTTACAATTGTACTCATGTTCCAAAGGTCTGTTCGTGAAATTTACCTCGCTCGTTTTTGGTACAAATCTCCGTGTATCACTAAAATATAATCTACGGGGGCAATGTGCATGCGCACTGGCTTCTTACTGCTCTTTACTGATTTTTTTTTCAAGTAAAGCAGAATTGCACCTAATATTTTATAGCAGAAAAAGTATACTTATGATATGCGAGGAATTTTATCTTTGTCCAAAGGGTAAGGTTAAGGTAGATAAGGAAAGAGGGTAGAAAGAGATCAGGTGTCTTGCATAATCTATTATTTATTATTTTTGTCCTGTTGGTTTTAACAAAATTTCCGAAAACTACTATAATTACATTAAATACTTGGTATAAACCTAATTTCAGTAAAAATCACGGGTTTTAAATACTTCGTAAATACTAGATCGCGTACTTGAAATGTATCATTACTTACTACATTTAACTTAACACTTCAAAAACATCTTACATGATTTTTTCTGCTAAAAACAAGAAACTCACCGATCATCCACCTATCACAGATAATGAACCCATACACAAGTCTAAAGAAGAAAAATACTTAGACCTAATCCTAGAAAATAAATTAACTTGGAAACCTCATATTGATAATATCCGGTCTAAATTAACACCCTTAATAGGAATTTTAAGAAAAATAGCAAAATGTTTCTCACAATCAATTAAAAAACTAATATATATCTTCTTCATATATAAAAATTACGTGTCACGTTGTTGGTTCGCGATGAATTCCTAAACTACTGAACTGATTTCAATTAAATTTTGCACATTGTGTGCATTTTGGTCCAACTTGAGAGATAGGATAGTTTTTATACCCTCAAATTTTTTTATTGCCAATTTAAGGATTTTTATAGGCCAAAGTCGGCGAGGGCAGTACGACGTCTGCCTGGCCAGCTAGTATATATTATATAGAATACTCCTGTTAAGCCGCATTTAGAATATCT